TACATGCAGTCTATATGCAGTCTATATGCAGTCTATGTGCAGTCTATGTGCAGTCTATGTGCAGTCTATATGCAGTCTATAGGCAGTCCACAGACAGTCTATATGCAGTCTAGATGAAGTCTATATGCAGTGTACATGCAGTCTATATGCAGTCTATGTGCAGTCTATATGCAGTCTATAGGCAGTCTATATGCAGTCTATAGGCAGTCTATAGGCAGTCCACAGGCAGTCTATATGCAGTCTAGATGAAGTCTATATGCAGTGTACATGCAGTCTATGTGCAGTCTATAGGCAGTCCACAGGCAGTCTATGTGCAGTCTATGTGCAGTCGATATGCAGTGTACAGGCAGTCTATATGCAGTCCAAACTTTGTGTCTGCTCAACAACTACTAATGAAGAATTGTGAATTGTGACCAGCAGCACAGGTATGCAACAGATTCTTCCAAGCGGACTCCTGCAGACTCGTCTAAACACAAGAGCTACGTGTCCGTGGATGTCTGCAGCTGTGCATGTTCGCCGGAGCTTCACTTTTAAGGGCTCACGTTGCACAACAATGGGTTCTGTGGTTTCAAACCTTTTCTGGTGCTTTAACTTAGAATTGGAGACAAGTTTTCTATAGGAAACATTTCTGCGAAGCCTGTTTCTTAACTGGGTGCCTCTTGTTTCCTCTGTCCTAGGGTTCTGCATAACTACATGCTGTGGCGCATCGTGGCAGCGCTAAGCGAGCACCTAACCACCGCCTTCCGCAGCACCATCCACGAGTTTTCTCGGGAGATTGACGGCACCGAGCAGCAGCTGGAGCTGGGCAGGCTCTGCCTCACCCAGGCCAACAAACACTTCGGCATGGCCCTGGGAGCCCTGTTCGTCCAGCAACACTTCTCCTCTCAGAGCAAGGCCAAGGTCTGTGTGTGGGTGGGCTTCTGGGTGGTCGGCGGGGCAGGCGAGTGGCGTATATGAACTGGATGGATGAATGAATTTTTTATTTTGTCTACTTTCAGAAGAATGAGCCTCAATGTACGAGACAGTAAGAAACCTCCCAGTAAATCTGAAGTGAACTTTATAAACTTCAAAACACAACATCTGAATAATAAGTAGAGTTTTGGGAGGCAGTTATCGACGCCCAGCGCAGACAAATCAGACTTTGAGACCAAAGCACAAAGACTTATTTTTCTTTTATTTAATCAATTACTGACTGTTAGCTCAGCAGGCTAATGTAGTTCATTAAAAACAGTCTGGTTGTCCCCCAGTTCCACTCCAGACACACACTGTGTGCAGGTTTTGAATATATGGTGTTTATATATAAAACTGCTTGATTGTTGAGTGTGCTGTTGACAAAAAAATCACTGCTCTGTAATATATTGTACAATAGAGATGGAAAAGCTATTTGCTGCTGCACAAATTACATTTTTTCTCAAGTGGGTGTTTAACAGCCACAGAAGAATCTAAGATCAAGGATGGAACAGAGAAGTTTCTGACATATTTCCATCAGTGCTGCTGATGTTTTTACAGACATTTACTGTCTGCATTAGGAGAGGTACTGTAGAAACGGAGGAGAGGTAGAAAGCTGCATTTTGTAAACAAAAAAAATCATTATTTCTTTTTTCCAAAACAAGAAAGTGACGACCATTTAGTGACAGTGCAGCTAAGGATGACTACAAAAGGAAATTAATCTCCTCAAACAATAGGGGAGTATTGTTTAGCAGCAAACGGTTCAATGTTTCACCTGAAGGTTAGCTTAGCTGGAAAGACTGGATGCATTAGTTAAAAAAAGTAGTTTATCCAGTTTTACAGCACCAGCAATTAAATATATAAAGATTTCAGCTGGCTATGCTGGCTCTGGTGTTAGCACAGTGGAATATAAATAGTAAAAGCACCCTACCGACAGGATTTAATTACATACGCTGTGCGCCGTCCCCCACATGGAACCCAGTGAAGCTATGAGCTGCACCATGACATGAGCACACAACATGCATTGTATGTATTCTGTACAGTATATGAGATAAATTATCTGTCTGCCCCCCTCCCCACTGGGCATTCAGTATCTACCTGCAACACAAGAGAAAAATGCACGCAGTAATGAGCAATTAATGTGCAATTCCCATTGGCCGCATTGAAAAATACTCCGACTGGAATCCCACTAATGTGAAAAAAAAAAGTGACCTTCCAAGAGAGCACAAGGAAAACTCACAAACGTGACCTTGGCCCTTAATTAGATTTCTGTGACTGCACATGAAAACACATTTCCCACATTGTCCAGAGCTGTGGAAACACTTTCTTTTCTGACTTTGTTCCCCAGCTCTCCTCTCTGAATGTGCAGCCAGCGTCCAGCTCTCTGTTTTGACATGGCTAGATGATTTTTGATTGATTCCTGAACTGGGATCCTGAAATCCCACCCATGCCAATCAGAGCTGTCTCTCATTCTCTGCTTGTTGTTATTGTTTTGCACTCGGCCGGGGTCAGTCACAACTCATACCTCCACCTCTGCCCTCTGGTCCCTTCACTTTCACCGTAATCCTCCCCCATATGTATTCTCATCAAAGTCTCATGTCCATTCTAGGACATGGGGATATGGTTCCCAATAGGATTTCTAACCTGGGTAACCTCATGCTCCTTCTTTAAGCCCTTCATCATCTCCCTTTCACCTTCTTCTTCTAATGCTCCCGCTGTTCACTCGACCCTACTTCATCTTCCATTGAGCCATCCGTCGTCTTCTCTTGCAAACTTTGAAATCTCTGTCAAAGCTCAGGACTGCAAAGCATAAAGCAAGTTTGACACAACTGGATAAGTTCTGGATGCTAATTACTTTCTATGTACTGTACCTTAATTGAAATTTAAGTTCCCAAGTTCCTAATGTTCCATTTAAGATTCTAATAAGATACTAAGGGTACATTTCAAAAATGCTTCAAGCTAGTGGAGCCTTTCTGATTAATAAAAGACTAGAGAGGAAGGGTTTTTAGGCTGAAGCCTTCAGGATGGGAAGTTTTTGTTAGATGAAGCAGGTGCTAATCCCACAAGTACCTCAAAATAATTTAAAAATCCCTTAAAACATCGACGGCATCGTGCTGTATGTATGTGCAGCTCCTCCGGTGTGGATGTGACTGAGGTTATTCACCGAGCATGTCCACACCGATCTTCTCACATTATTCAAAGACGTCAGTCTGCACGATGTTGGCATGTTCACCTCATTATCAGTACAAGAGGGGTATCGCACCTGCAGCCAGTGGCGATGTGTGAGGCCTTGACTGACTCACTGATGTTGCTTCCTTCAGCACGAACAGGAATTAATGAGTCTCAGGAGCTGAAGCAGAGAGACGGGAGACAGAGGGGGGAGGACGAGCACTCTGGTTATCCTGAATCGCCGATGTATAGACAGCCAAAGGACACAACACGTCACGGTGTCGTTCAGATTTCTGCTCGGGGTAGACTGTTGTTTCAGGAAGCAGAAACATCATTCCTAAAAACTGACTTTAAGTTTGGACAGCAGATGTTACCTGGGAGGAAATCCCAGAGCACACCCAGGATATGTCTCTGGGCTGGTTTGGAAATGCTTCAGTTCACCCCTGGAAGACCTGCAGGAGGTGGGAGGGTAAAGGGAGGTCTGGGCAGTCCTCCATAGGCTGCTATCGTCGTGACCCAGATCCAGATTAGCAGCACAAAGTGGATGTATAGATGGAAATCACTCGAGTTTCTAATGAAGAACTTACTGTAACAGACAAAACATGATCTTAGCAATCATCATTTCATCGGCGATGGTCAGCAGCACTCTCATTATGAAGATGACTCAAGTCTGCATATCTTATCGCCCTACATGCAGAAATATGTGGCTTACGTGTCTCGTATCCCATTTATCTGGAGAACAGCCTGTGTCAGGCATTCAGTGATGGTTGAATTGAGATATGTTTCAGCTGCACTTCAGGGTCAGTGGTAATTACATATCAGACATTGGAATTTGCTTCACGCTACAGTGACATCAAAAACTGCAGCAGTGGAACTACAAAGGTGGTAAGAAGCCACTCCTGTGGGCAATCCAATCCAATTAGCTATAATCACACCAGCACAAGCAGCAGCACTCAGAAAAACACAAGCAAGGTCTTCTGGATTTAGGGAAGTTCGATTTAAGAGCACTAGAAACCTGCCAAATATTAAGTCTTTCTCTATAACAAAGGTTTGTAAATGCTGAGAGGGCTGAGGAACAGGTCCTGTAGGAGACATCTGGACTCCTGGAAGTCACAACGTAGTCAATCTGACATCAAACTGATTGTTTGGGTTCAGTGTGAGTCAGGCTTTGTGCAGGAACCTGAACGTTTCTGCTCAGTGTAGGAATGCACACCTGGTGCAGGGTCAGTGTTCCTGTTTGTAACTCACCTGACAATGTGTTTGAAAGAGGAGCTGCACACTAAACTGTTTTACTGCACTGCACTGTACACCATCAGATTTCTGATGCTTTGCTGATACAGGCGTTTTTTTGCATTTCTTTCTTGAAGTTTAGTTCAGCCAAAAACATTGTCCTGTCCAGAGCCTCCTGCATGACAGACTGGCTCACCACCACCAGGTCTGGACCTGGTACAGAGAGCTGCAGCACAGTTAGCACCATCCATCTTGATGAACACTTATTTTTCCCACAGTGACAGTAAAGACAACATATGGGCCCACTAATGACTGTGCCGTATTCAGAGCTTAACGAGAAGTTTAGAGCTGATGGACCGTTATGTTAGCCATCATAAGCAGCAGGGCAGCGACTGTGACACTCCCCCACAGAAACATAAACCTGAAAGTCTCCCGGAGCCTCTCCGCTATAACACAGGAGGCTTAAAGGTGCTTCTAGTGATCGGCACAACTCCACCAGACTTAACATGTTGACTATCAGCTCTCTTTTCTGTCTCCGTTGAGCGGTGGTTAGCCGATCTCTTGTCCTTTGACCCTCCTCAGCAGCCACAAGCCTCCTCCAGCCATTACTCAGTCACCTCTCTGTTTACATACAGAGTGGGTTCCAGCTAAACATGAGGATGTAGGTACCCTTTAAAGTTCTTTTTAATCCACATGTAACTGAATGACTCCTTGGCAACGTCGCACTTCTTTCTTGCATCCACCCATAGTATTATTGAAACTCCATTTTCAAAAGTTCAGGAAGGTCTTCAAAGGCTGTCGAATATATCTCAAGGAGCTTTAAGGACTCCCGCCAGTGAAAATGCAGTTATTTTCTTTGTTAACATGTTCTTGTGGTATTTTTTATATGCTAGAAAATGTGTCATGAGTAAAAATAGGCAGCCAACGCCGTGAACAAGCACGTCCATGTAGAGCCTGCACGGTACTGATGACAGTCAGACAGCCAGGGTTTCATATGTAACACACCCAAGGAACCAATCCTGTCAGCTTCAGGACCGTGGTTCTCCTCCAGTTCAAACACGTATGACTGAATTACAGCTGTGCATTATGTGGTGTGGAGCAGTTTTACGAGGTGTGTCAGGAAAGCTCCAGGACTGGTGTCTCAAATCCAAACTACAAACCACCAGTGTTCTCCCTCCCAGTACTCCTCCTGGAGTCCACCACCCTCCTCCAGCCTTCTCTTCTCACCACCATGCACTCCTGGAAGGATTCTCCAGGATCCTCTCAGCTCCGTCCTCACAGCCATCTTCATGTCGTCCACATCTTCTAAACGGGTCTCCTTGATGAGCCCTTGAGCTTGGGGAAGAGGAACCAACCCCACGGAGCCAGGTGGGGTGAGTAGGGAGGAGATGTTCTTCTCAGCAGGAGCTGTGGGATGCTCAGGGTGCTGTGAGCAGGTTGTCATGGTGACGCAGCCTCCACTGGTCCTGACACAACTCTGCCTCTTCTGGACGAAGCAAACGCTGCAGGACCTCTGTAGACGAGCTGGTTGATGGTCTGAAGGAGAAACTCCTGGTTTGTAGTTTGGGTTTGGAATCTATCTCTCGTGACACCAGTCCTGGAACTTTTCCAGCACATGTCATACAGTGTTTGATCAGAGTCGTAGGTGAGCTGGTGGGCTCGAGCTGCAGAGTGTGGCAGACGGAAGGAGGGAGATCAAGGCAGTGATTTCATTCTGCACATCCTAGAAGCAGCAGCACTATAGAGTCCATCAGAGGCATTTTGAGGCAGGAGGGCTTTAAAAAAAACTTCCAAACATGTTACTTGGATACACAGAGATGAGTTTTTAGGGTTTAAACCAATGACTGGTGAGCGACTTTAGAACTGAACCCATGTGATGTGACCCCCTGCAGGTACAGGAGCTGGTGGAGGACATAAAGCATTCCCTGGACCTCCGGCTGCACGAGCTGGACTGGATGGATGAAGCCACAAAGGATGCTGCCAGAGCAAAGGTTCGGAGCTTAACTGAGCCCCTGCATCACAAACACGACTTCCTTCTCGATCCGATTAGTATTTGAAAAGGATTTAATTATTTCTTTGTGATTTTTTTTCCAGGGGTTTGATTGATTGCCTGGTTAGATAGAAGTGTGTGATAGAATACATCAAAGCTTGACATTGAGGAGTGCGGATGGCCTAATCCGGATCTCTCTGTGGTGCTGATTTAGGGTCTGCACTGCAAGATATCCCTTCTAATACTTTTACAATCTGAAGTTCTAATCCTTTTAGAGGGCCATGCTGAATATAAAGAGCTTCCCTGTAATCCTATTACATTGGGTTTGCTTGATTAGCTGATGCATGTGTGTGTGCTCAGATGGCGCCTGGGTCCAGAACCAAGTGTGCGTGAGTGGTTATTAGTGGCTCTGAGTGGATGTGGGGTGTTGTTGGACAGGTTCGGCTGCTTCTCCTCCACTCTCTCCTCCCTCCCGTCATCCTTTTCTCCGTCTCCTCTCCCAGCTGAAGCACATGATGGTGATGACAGGATACCCAGACTTCCTGCTCAAACCGGAGCTCATTGATCAGGAGTACGGGGTGAGTCAGGAGCCTCCTGTTTCCTCCCCAGCTTACATTCCATCCCTGTTTTCCAGCATCCCTGCTTCTCTCCCTCTCTTTTTGGCTCTGGAATGATTTCCATCAGGTGCTACTGTGCATCCTGACTGATGGAATTCAGATAGAGAAAAAATACGTCAGTAAATCCAAGACATCCTGATGAGACCACTCACAAACAAGAAATGAATAATAATAATATATACTGAGTCGGTTGATCCAGCCACAAAGTGCACATAAAGCCTGGGAGCAGGCAGCGCACTTGACAAAAAACATGTGATTGAGGAAAGCTTGTGGCGCATAAACAAAGGTTTATACGCTACGTCTGGGGACAACGGTGCTGAGATTCTTCTTAAAACTGGAAACCAATTCTGAAAACTATAAATAGACCTAACGCACCATGAAGCAGCGCTTTCAGAGGGAGCAGGACCGGTGGCAACGGGTCTACAAATCACATTAGTACCACAAGTACTTTTACTTAAACACGTGTACTTATGTAGTACTGCTTACAGTACTTGGCTTTACCAGAGTGTTTTCATTTAGGCTGTTACTGATACTTTAGTACATGACACAGAGAAATATTCACCACATTTATTTAATATTTAGATACAAGTTTGTTGTTGTTGTTTTTTCAGATTTGGGCTTTTTCTAAACCTATAATCAGCTTATAAACTCAAAATGACCCAACATAAGATAAAGGAGTAATAATTAGCTGCACCTGGACTGGCTAACTGATTAACATTAATATAAAACAATAACACAGCGACCTGAAAGGGCTTAAACTGCATAAAGAGGACTTTATCTTCATGGTGCTGCCTTCAGGAAACAAACCACAGACCGCCACTTTCAGTGAAACGTCACAGTAACAGTCTGATGATAACTCTGGAAGATTTGAGAGTTTGAAACGTCCTCTTTGAATCATTGCTGGCTGTGACACACTATAAGCAGAAGGTACGATACATTTTTATGATTGATCTGTTATCAGGAACCTCCAAGGTCTCACAAACTAGGCTTACATTTGTTTTTCCTCCTAAAATAAAAATTCTTGCCATCGAGGGTTAAAGCCTGCATCGTTAACTTCCACGGCTGTGAATTATAAGTTGGCTCATTGCTGCCGTTCTTGGCACATTATCAGCCGTCGGTCAGTGGAACAGCATGAAACCAGGCCAACAACATGAATATCCTGCACAGCACATGTGTCCTAGACAAGGACTGATTGGTAGAAACATTCGTCCATCAGTGGGTAAACCTCCACAGGGATCAGAATACGGACAATGCAGAGGTTTTCCATTTAGTAATGCCTTTTTGGTAAATGCTCTGCACTTATATAGCTTCTATCCAAAGCGCTTTACAGTGTGTTTGTCATTCACCCGTTCACACACATCCATACACCAGCGGCCACAGAGCTGCCGTGCACGGTGCTGCTGCCACTGGTGTCTTGCTCAAGGACACTTTGACTGTGGAGGGGATCGAACCGCCAACCTTGCGATTGGAGGACGACCTGCTGTACCACCTGAGCCACAGCCGCCTACATTTAATTTGTGTTTTTATTCACTTTAATGGACTTTACATGTGTTTGTGCTAATCTACAAATTACTAATTAACAGACATGAGAGCAGAGATGATCGTCTCATCTGAGCAAGTGTCCTCAGCACAATCGTCTTTTAGGGGTTTAGTTTTTGCTTCTCCTGATATCCAAAGTGCAGAGACACAGCGGTGGGTGGTGGTTGTGGAAGTTCTCTTTCTTTCTTTATCAAATTTGCCTCCATCTGCTGCCATCATTTCTAATAGAGCTCCGTACAGATGTGTGTTTTTGTCACAAACTGACAGAAGCTCATCAGGCCCTGTGAGACTAAACAAGCAAAAAGAGCAACCAAGACAGATGATGTGTTTACTGTCAGCTTAACGGATGGAGATGTTATAAAAGCAAGTTACACTGAATTCTCTTGGCAAGTGAACAAAAACACTTTTCCGTCTGTGTATAATAAACTACTGCAAAGACATTTAGATCAGGAGTCGGGCACCTCTGCAGAACAACAGTCCTCCCATGTGCTGGATCAGAAAACAAGTGCTGGTCTAGTCATCACAGATTAACACTATTTAAAACATTACAGCCAGTAATAGCAGACCTCGTGGTTGTATTCACGCCACACATCCACAAACACAACGCAGATCATATGGGCAGTGTGACATTTTTAAAATACGAGCACACTGTGTGCCAAGACTTTGATTAGAAGATTAACATCACAATATTAATATTACGTCTGTCAGTTCGATCCAAGGCAGCAGCTATCACCTGTTTAGTTTGGTTTGTACAAAGACGGGAAACAGCCTCGCACTGTTCAAGTCATCTAAAGCTCACCAATTACCACGCTGTCATTTATTTGTTTAATCTGTACCAGATAATGTTTCATGCAGGGCTAAACGAACCAGACAACATGTCAATGAGTTGTTTTAGTGGGTTAAACAGACACATTTAGACACCAGTGCACAGAGCCAGGTTAGCTGCTTCTACCCGTTATGTTGCTTCTACCGACATCAAAATGTTTTTAAACTTCACATCGAACTCTCTTCCTGGAAAAAATAAGCATATTGTCCTGAATGTTGGGCTGTTGCTTTAAGGATTCTGTACACAACATCTAGAACCGCTGACATCACCAGAACATCATCATCTGTGTCTGCTCCCACCAAACACCAGCAGAGAGGCAGAGCTGCACAACAGCAGCAGAAACCGTTCAGTTACGCAGAAATGAAGTGAGCGTACAGAATCTAGATAGCTAACATAAGCAAACATTTTCAAACTGTTGACAAAGGCTGCTGGACTGGACCGCCACTCTTCCAGTGCAGGGTATTGGGTCGCTCTTAGGCTACGCTCAGACAGCAGGCTAACGTCACACAAATCCCATTGTCTTTGCCCCGATGTGACCTGTATCTGATCTTTTCATGACAGTCTGAACAACACAGATCCAATTGAATGGGACCCAGGTCACTGGGATACGTGGTCCTAGATCCGATAGGTGTCTGATCATTAGCCTCGCCCTCTGTCTGAACGGCCAGGTCACATTAATCTGACTTACACGGCGTTCGGCCGCCGATGATGTGTGTCTTGCTGTGAGAGTGTTAAAACGAAGCGCTCACATACGTCCATAAAGGTCGCTTTTGTCATTAGAAAATGATGAATGAAGTCCGTATCCCGATCCCACCACTCCTGGCTGTGACTCTGCACCCACTCGCTCCTCTGTACAGACAAAACCCGGCTCGCTTCCTTTTCAATCGTCTCCTTAAAACGATTGTAAATGTGCTGGACAGCAAGTTCAAAATCACAAGATCCGCTCCACCGTTACCGTCCGTGTTTAAACACTGAGCACGCTCGCTACGTGTGACGTCGTCGTGTCCTCTTCTGCGCATGCGGGACACTTTTGGCTCGTATGAAGTTCACACAGCAGATCACATACAAGTCGCATTGAAGTGGAAACGTGAAGGAAGTCACAAAGAAAACAGATTTCACAAAAAGTTGAGCATTAATTCCTGCAGTGTGAACGTAGCCTTAGTCCGTCTATAAGAACAGGTAGACTCTACAGTTTCAGTGGGACGGACTCACATGCACACATAGCTGGACCACCTAAACACAGACCAGTAAAGCTCAGAGCACCACACACACAGAGTGGCGTTAGTCCCTGTAAAGTACATCATGACTCCACTGTGTCTTCACACAGCAGATGGTTTTCTGCTGCGATACTTATTCTACATTTATGTTCAAAATCTTGCGTATTGCACCTTTAATATCTAACGTTCAGTAAAAGCTGTTTACACTCAAACTCGCTTCTTATCTGTGTTTGCAGTTTGATGTGGATGAGAAGACCTACTTCAAGAACATCCTCAACAGCATCAAGTTCAACATCAAGCTGTCTGTCAAGAAGATCCACGAGGAAGTGGACAAGACGGCGTGAGTGTCACATCTGCTCACAGTACACGAGCTGCACCAGTCAGCCAGCTGACACGCAGAGGCCCCGATTAAACAGGGTTAATGTATTTGAGATGCAGGCCAAGCTGGTGCAGCTGAGGCTGGCGCCGGACGCTGCGGTTACGGCACCGTCTCCCTAATATGTTTGACATGCCCAACATGTGTCCCTATGAATCCTTTTTAGTTTGACATATTTGTTGATGCGCCTCTAAATTAAAGCAACAGATACCAAATCGACATACACAGCTGCAGAAAATCCATTTGATTTACTTATCTATAGCAGCCAGGCAGCAGAAAAGTGCTGTGGGACATGCGCTTCATTTTTCTAAAATACAGCCCGGTGCGCTGGATGGAGTGCCTCTCTGCTATGACAACACATTACACACACATTAGTATTCCAAGGTGCTCAAAACAACTGTATCATTAGCCCACACTCAACGCCCTGAAGAGTTAAATCACACACCCCCTTTATCACCAAAAAGTGAACCTTTCATCGCTCACTCTGTCTTGTCACTGTGAAATAAAGAAAGAGGCGCTCCTCCTCCTCCTCCTGTTTGTCTCTCCTCATCTCTGCACAGTCCATGCAGAGCCATCAGTCTCCCAGAACAAGGGCATCTCACACTTTCACAGTTAGTCATTTGGGGGGATTTTGTGCCGATCGATTGGACTGGCTTTAAGCGGATTACCATAAAGGAACTGTCCACGTTTTCATATGCAGGGAGGAACTTTGGCCGTGGGACCACACGCGCTGAATATTTCTCACCAGGGGGTTTAGAGGGAGATAGACAGAGGTGTTTGGGATTCTGTTCAGGATCTGGGTGTGTTTCGAGTTGCTAGATTGGTGATTTAGGAGTGTGAAGGATCCCATCTCTAAAACCCTGTTTGTTTGACGCTGTTTTTCTCCTCAGGTGGCTTCTGCCCCCTCAGGCCCTTAATGCCTACTACCTCCCTAACAAGAACCAAATGGGTGAGTGCGTGACTCGTTTTTGTACATACTGATGTTTGTGTTCCCTCCTTCATGTTTACACACACACACACACACACACACACACACACACGCCCAGTCCTTCCTCCATTGCCATTCTGCACCACAACACGGGCCGTGCATTAGTTACACACAATTACACCACGTTGAGTTTCCAACAAGTCAGACGCCACAGCCGCAAGAAATAAAAAAAAAGAAACAAGAAGCGTCCACCTCCTCATATCATATTCCCTCTCATCGCTCACTTTCTATTTCGATCTCCACCTCACATACTTAATACCTCCCTGGAGGAAAAACAAGCAGCAACACCTTCCTGAGTTTTAACAAACCAGCCGATGGATGTCACCCCTCCTCCCCAGCCCTCCCTCCTCATCTTCTCCTGAGATCGGCCCGCCGTCGGTGGCTGCCTCGCCTGTTGGATTAAATCTCTCGCAGAAAAATCGATGGCGTGCTCGCGAGCTGATGCTGGCGGACAGGAGGAGTCAGTCAAACACAGTCATCAAGGCCCTCTGGATCTTTTTTTTTAACCCAGACAATTTCTTATTTCTCTCACTTAATCCAGCTACTCCACTTCTCCACTGTGATCGTTTTAATATTCTTTTTTCTTTAATCAAATTAATGATGTCTACTTAATCTGCACCTCAGTCCTTTTAGGTTTCTTTGTTTCACATCCAGAATCAGGTTGAAGACAAGGATGGCGGTTAATTAGAAGCTACCCTCTAGCATACATATGAACAGAGGATTTTTGTTGAATCAGTTTTTATGTCTCTTTACACCAGAGACAGTTGAGGCGCTACGTGTTCAGGTTCTTCATCACTCAAAGATGATCTGATTCAAGTTTGGTCACTTAAAGATCAACGTCGCCGTGACCTTACAAAGCACACTGTAGAAATACCTTCAGAAATGAACCCCTCACAGGGTTAAATGAAGGAGCGGTGGCATTTAGCATCCAAATGGTGAGAGGTCAACGTCACTGTGGCATCACAGGGCTCTGCAAGAACACTTATGGACTCAGGAACATATTTCACATTTGTTTAGCTGGTGACACTACCTGAGTTCCCACTCTGAAACTGTGGTGATAATAACGATCATCTGGGCTGAGGGTTGAGGATGTGTTCGGTTTGGGGACATGTTCTCGATGGTTCCTCTGCTTAGTCCATCGACTAACTGGGGAGCCAAAGGCAATGCACTGGCGTTGTCAACAGCTCTTTAGTCACGTCGTCATGGTCAGTGTCATATTGTTTCCGGAGGGGGGTTGGGTTTTAGATTTTCTGGTTCCGTTGGTGTTGTTGACTCTGTTGTTGTTTAGTCCAACTGGTTCCTTCAGGGGGTTGGGTTCTACATTTTCCAGTTCCATTGGAGTTGATGATTTGCGCTGGTCTAAGAAAAGTTGTTTGTTGTTTGCTCGGGTTCTGACGGAGGTGGGTCACATTAGATTTATGGTTTTATTTGATTGTGGGGTTTTCCGTAGGCAGGGATGGTAAAGTTGTTGTTTTTGTTGGTTTTCTCAGGTGTTTTGTTTTAAAGGGGTTTTGGTTGTGTGGTTACTGTCTCGTTAGGTTTTTAGATTCAAGCTTTGAGTTGGGGAGTGAGTGGGATTGGTTGGTTAGGATTAGGTTAAGACTAGAACAGGCTAAGGTGAAAGTTAAGGTATTAGATAAACTAAAGTTGGGGTGGGATTAGGCTAAGGTTATGGTCAGGGTTCAGATAAGGCTGTGGTTCGGGTTAGGGTTAGGTTATGATTAGGTTTTGGATTAGGCTAAGGTTGGGGTCTAGGGTTCGGCCAGAGGTAAGGGTGTTGGGGTTAGCTGTAGCATCTATGCAGCAACATCCATGTTTGAAACATTCAAATCAGTTTTATTGGCCAAAGCACGTGAACACATGGCAGAAATTCAACAGTTTGTTTTGGTTTCTCTCAGTTACGTTACACACTTCAGGGTTTTTCACTACATACTGTCAAATATGAGACGGACATGGATGAGACCTGCAGCTTCAGTAGGTGGTGGGCAAACGTTCAGTGATGTTTGAATATGAAATTATTAGTTTGTGATTCATTCAGAGAATTACTATTTTTTATGAACGTCACAACTATCAATTGTTTTCATCACCATTTAATTTGCTAATTATGTTTTTTAGATTCGTCTAAATGAGTTTTAAAAAAATCCTAACAGCTTAAGGCCATGCTCTGAGGCAGCGCTTTAAATGCTAACATCAGGATGCCAACTTCTAATCCATCCATCCATCATCTCTACACCTTAACCCTCACTAGGGTAATGGGGGGCGGAGTCTATCCCAGCTGACTCAGGGTGAAGGCAGGTTCACCTGGACAGGTAACCAGTCTATCACAGGGCTACACTTAGAGACAGACAACCAAGCACACTCACATTCACACCTACGGACAATTTACAATCACCAATTAACCTCAGCATGTTTCTGGACTGTGGGAGGAAGCCGGAGAACCCGGAGAGAACCCACGCTGCACGGGGAGAACATGGAGACTCCACGCAGGAAGATCCCGGGTGTCCTCACCGGGACGCCAACCTTCAAGCTGAGAGGTGACGGTGTGAACCACCGACCCTCCTTGCAGCCCACTTCTAATTCAATGATTAGCAAAATTTTCCATGTCAAGCCTCTTAGTGTTAGAATATTTAACATTTGCTAAAGAGCACAAAGAACATGTGATGCTCATCGTCGTCTTGTTGGTTATGTGGGTGTTTGGTCATAAACCAAAGTGCTGGACACTAAAAGATTTGTTTTGCGTTGATGCTTTTTAGTAGTGTTACCAAAACAGTCCTTCAAAAGTCTACAGCTCACTCAGAGTAGGATCAGCTGATTAGATCAAGGATATCCTCCTCCTCTTCACTATGGAAAGTTCTTAGGCTGCTTTGACCGTATTTTAGGAATCTTGTCGTCCTGAATGAAGAAGTGCTGTCCAATGAGTTTTGATGCATTTGTCTGAATGTGAGCACAGAGAACGCTTTACCTCAGCATTCATCCTGTACTTCCATCAGCATCAATAAATGTCAGTTCCATTGGCAGCCATACATGTCCAAACTCTAACAGAAGCACCGCCATGTTTGACAGATGAGGTGGTGCTTTGGGCGCTGTCCTTTTTTTCTCAACACTTTTCGTCTTTCCATCACTTTGATTGAGGCTCATTGTTGTTTTGTCAGTCTCGAGAACTTTGTTTCACAACTCTAGCGGTTTGTTTTGGGATGTTTTGTGAACTAACTGAAGCCCAGTCTTTCTGTTTCTCTCAAATTCACTCGAGTCTCCGTCATGACATCTTTCCTTGATTGTTGAAAAAGGAACTGGAGAGCATTCTGAGCTCATGGTGGAGTCACAACCAGTAACTCATTTTTCTCTCTTTTGCACCTCGGTCTGGGTCGTGGTTGTTTGCTGCTGAACAGTTTCCGTGTGAACTCCTGTTTTGTTAGAATGACTCCAACAGTTTTTGTCTTGACTGTTTTTTTGATTTTGACAAACTTTCTTTGACATGTCTGTTGAAGTTTTTTGCTGTTTTGAGCCCATATAGCATCTTCCATTACTCCTCATATTGACAGGCTCACTGTAAATGGCAGTTCTCAACAACACTTTGCACTGAGAATCCAGACACGTTAGCATCCTTAGCACAAAGGCTAATGCGTTTCCAGTGGGTACTGAACTCCTGCAAGGTTGCCACTTGTGTCTGATCTGGTTTGTGATATTTATAGACAGGCTCTCATGGTGCAGCCAGGCTCAGGAGGTCTTTAGAGTCAGACTTCGGAGTTGTCTCTGCTTTTTGCATATAACGTGCTTCTTCTGGCTTCTTCGGACCGTGACATTAAGGATGCACTGGGGCAGTTTGCTGCTGAGTGTGACGCAGTCGGCAAAGTCAGCACTGAGAGCGTGGTTCTCTGGCAGAAACCGGTGGATTGCTCACACTGGGTAGGGGTTAGCTGCTTCCTCAAGCAAAGGAGTTTAGGTGACTCAGGAAAGTGGAGCATGGGATGGACATAGGGATTGGTGCAGCATCATCATAACAGGGCGTGATATGGGATTGTCGTGGTGAAGATTAAGATAAGCCAGAAGGCGAAGCTCTTAGTTTACCAGCTGGCCTACGTTCTCCCCTCACCTATAGTCATGAGCTCTGGGTGGTGACTGAAATGAGTGTCCTTTGCATCAAAAGGAGCCACTTGAGGAGGTTTGGGCATCTGATTAGGATGACCTTCCTTTGGAGGTTCTCTGGGTACTACAGGGTAAACCCAGAACTTAATGGAGGGATCCCTGCTCTCATTTAACCTGATGACACCTTGGCATCCTCCAGAAGGAACTGGAGAACATTGTATGGTGGAACTCTCAACTAGAATTGAATAAATGAATGTTGTAATGACGCACAGCGACCCAAGAACAATGCTAGTCAAGTTTCCATTTACTTTTGAACCTTTGCCATTTGGGCACTTTGTGTTGAACGGGCTGCAGCTCCTTCTGTTTGGATGTAAACCTACACTCATTCAACTTTGGCACTTTCTTCTCGTATCCATTATTCTATGTCAAACTGAATGTGCTGAAGCACAGAGCCTGAAGAACAACACTGACTGTCCAGATACCTACATCTGGACTGTGTGGAAGCTTCTGCAGCTTTCCAGTTTGAAAATATAACCCTGATGATATCAACAGCTATCATAAGCAAGCAACTGTGGGCTTTCATTCAGATATACTTGCAGATAAACTCTGGTGTTCATAGGTCCACAACATCACCTTTTTCAATGTGTGCGATTGTGTGTTCACGCAGGACGCTAAGATCCTGACTGACAAAACCAGCTTCAGGGTCTTTACATCTTTGACCACAGACGACATGCAGCTGACATCCTGTAAACAATTCTTCACGGATAAAACTGATATGTGGTGATGTGAAGGTGGATTAAAGACTGACTGCAGCAAGGGGGAATAGGAGATGACTACCTCAAACATCTTAAGTCTGAAAGACATCAGGCGATAGCAATGATTTCAATAAATAAAACTCTTTTTCAGAGTCCACAAAGATGGAGAAGAGGTGAAGCCACTGGTAGAGAATCCAGCTTCTCTGTATGAGCCCAGAAGGCGTCACGTAGGAGACTGACCTGTACGTAGACGTACAAACACAGGCAGTTTGTGTCACTGTCCTCTACAGCAGCTGCATATTTGTATGGATGGATGTATTTTATATTAAAGCCCTGGCCGGGGCAGCTTGGAGGCATCTGTGTTTTCCATTTCCTCTGCACAGTTTTTTCCCTTTGAAGGAAACTCAGCTTGCTGATTGTGATATTCTTGTGACTTTTAGGCTGTTTGAATATCTGGACAATTCATTTTGCCTCATGTTGCTTCTTTATCTGTCTTGTAGTGTTTCCTGCCGGCATCCTCCAGCCCACTCTCTACAACCCCGAGTTCCCACAGTAAGTAGGCCTCCTGCTGTCCCTGCCTTTCTCTGCTGCTGTCTGTAGGGAGGCAACAACATCTCCACGGCTACAACAACAAAGGTCATTAAAGGCTACGTTAGTCTGGCAAGCCTCTGCTTCCCTGCAAGTCCCAGCACTCCTGATTAAACCAATTTAACTACCCACCAAGAGCTCAATTACTGAACAAGGTCCCGCTAATGGAACAGGTGTCATTGAGAGGTCGCTTCCCTAAATTTGAGTCCATCGAGTAATTTGATGGTGCATGAAAGTAGATAGCTTCCCTGTCTGTCTCTGTCTGCTCTGTTTCACTCAGTTGTTCTCATTTCTTGCTCTCAAATAAGATCTTGGTGATGAAAAATGTATGAATTACAGTCAGTGCAACACCAGACAAAAGTATTAATAGTTTTAAATTAGTCCGAGACTTTAATTTAAATTAGAGCACAAATTAATTCTCACTCAGTTGTAGACAGAAACTAGTTGTATTCTGAACTAAGGTCAGACAGACTGGAGGTGTTTTTATGGCCAGCAGCTGACAGGCAACATGGCCAAGAACCAAATATTGTCCCCACAGTTTTATTAATCCTTTCAATTAATATTCATACATAATTATATACCACACGTGAGGCATTAAAGCTCTTCACTTAAATCCAAATGAAAACGTCCAAAGCACTGGGGCTGAGCTCCTTTTAAAACAGCAGCCATACTTTGAAAAACAAAAACACGTTAATCGGATCAGAAGCTGCTCAACAGAACTGTGAAAAATTAGAATTTTTTAATTTATTAAATTATATTTAATTAAGGAGCTATCTGATAAAAGAATGACTCATACTTTACACAAACGTCCTGTCTGGACAGGTTCTAATAGCACAGAAAGCTAGAAAAGAAGTGTGCTTCAGTAAGCAGTGATATGACAAGAACAACAACATAAATGATCAGAACTCTGTATATGTGGACACTGATGAAAATCTATGATTTCAATATTTCTGGGCCTCTCATTGACAACCAGAGTCATTTAGCTTTCCAGAATATAGCATCATAACCATGATTTCCTCCTTATGGTCACATTCGACTCACTCAGCCCGGCTGCAAATGACGACATCTTTAAAGAAGCTTACTCAGGGGAAGCATTTGGGAAATAGCAGGATACTAAATGTACGACTGTCCTGTAAATGTGACCACTGCTCAGCAACAGCTACAGATTCCTTCTTTAAAGCCAGAGTGTGGCACATCCAAGCCAAACAAGATCACTAAACTACGATAAAGACCGTCGGCATCCAGTAAATCTCTCTGAACTTGTCAGTATACAGGAGTTTACATCTGGTTTCTGTGGTGACGGACCGGTGCTGGCACACCGGTACCAGTGTGTTCTAGATCAGCAGCAGTGATTAGGTTTCTGTGGCAGAAGAAAAAAGCAATCAGAGCAGCAGAGACGGTGGAAGCTACAGTAGCTGTGAGCATGGCCGGGCTTAGCAGGAACAACTAGGAGGCTTCCAAAAAACAAGTTTCTAATGCTCCAGATGAAATGAAGACACGGCGATCAGAGGAAGAAGCACAGCCTGAAAACAGGAAGTGATCACAGCGAGGCGTCCGTGATGATAAGCACACGTCAACAGCGTTTGTGTAGTTACTGTCATTAGCAGATGAGGGAGACACAAGTTCTGTCCTGCAGGTTGAAAAGCTCAAGTTTTAGCCTGTAAATGACAAATATTGCATCATTAATGATTTAATGTAAACTGCTGCAGACTAATTACTAAAACACACCATGTTTATGGAAGAACCTCCTGCATTCCTCTTCAGTATAGAACAAAAATCCACTTGAGACTTGAATATGAATTAAAATCAAACTAAGAAGGCAACATGTGAGCATGTCTGTTGCATATTAATTCATTTAGACGCATTGTTCATGCTAACAGTGTCAGCTTTAGAAGGAAGACGGCTAATTGTCGCTATCGCTGTCAAAAGTAAGCTTCGGCTCTCTGCAAGTTGATTTTCATATTATACTGACATAAAGTTAAACCAGACGGCTGCCTGGAAGGAAGGAAATCGATGCATGACGTTGTGGTTGGGTCATAAAGAAAGGAGAGCAGGTAAACAGCTCCTTTTCCACTCAACGTACCTTTTGTTAACCAAAGCCATTGGCTGAGCAGCAACGCGCTGCTGCCAGTATTGAGCATTATTCTAAGCCTCTGCATACAATACAGTCCAAGCAGCTACACGCTCTGCATTCATACGACTCCCCCGAGCGACCGCATGCACACACGCCTCCTCACAAATATGAGATAATTGGAGCGAGCAGTTCGTGTACCCAACATTAGCCAACACTTCTACGTCTTCATTAGAGGTGATCACCACTACCTCCAATACCTACCGCCATGCATGCTAATCAATATTAATTAATGATTGTAGGAAAGTGTGTGTGTGTGTGT